TTTGTTTTAATGCATATTTTCATCATTCACTGACATAGTATGAAGGTTAAAGAGGTTTGAGCATGTTTCTCCAGAAAATAGAATTTATTTTATAGGTGGTCACTGATTAAGTGGTATATGCAATTTATATATATTACCTGATGGAAAATTTGAGATGATGTCCATGTGCCATGGAAATAATTTTATCATACATGAATACAAATTTATAATGTGATTTGGTAATTTTCATCAACAATAAAGAGCCTAAACTTCTTAATATAGCATTTATCAAAAGGCTAAACTTTATACTATGTCAGTGAATGATGTAAATATGCATTAAAACAAATTTTCATATTTTTTAGTTTTCTCGAAATATGTGGATTAACCCCTACAAAAAATCAATTATTTGGATAAATGATTTATTAAAAAAATTCGGCTCTTTATTGTTGATGAAAATTACCCAATCACATTCTAAATTGTTTTAATGCATGTTAAAATTATTTTCATGGTACATGGACATCATTTCATATTTTCCAACAGTTAATTTATTTTAATTTCATGTACCACTTAATCAATGGCCAAACCCCCTATAAACAAAATTCTATTTTCTGGAGAAACATGAACACCTAAGGTCTCAACCCTATTTAACATTCATACTATGTCAGCGAATGATGCAAATATGCATTAAAACAAAAAAAAAAATGATATTTTTTAAATTTTTTCGAAATATGTGGGTTAACCCTTACAGAAAATCGAGTTTTTTGATAAATACTTTATTAAAAAGTTTAGGCTATTTATTGTTGATGAAAATTACCCAATCAGATTCTAAATTTGTATTAATGTATGTTAAAATTATTCTTAATCAGTGGACAAACCCATATAAAGAAAATTATATTTTCTAGAGAAACATGAACACCTAAGGTCTCAAACCTCTTTAACCTTCATACTATGTCAATGAATGATGCAATTATGCTTTAAAACAAAATTTTCATATTTATTTATTTTTCTCGAAATATGTGGGTTAACCCTTACAGAAAATCGACTTTCTGGATAAATGATTTATTATAAAATTTAGGCTCTTTATCGTTGATGAAAATTACCCAATCACATTCTAAATTTTATATTAGTGTATGTTAAAGTTATTTTCATGTTAAATTTTAGGTGTTCATGTTTCTCCGGCAAATAGAATTCTTTTCGATTTACATGGTATATGAAGCTTTATTAAATTGCTCGTTGGAGAATTATAACTGATGTCCATGTACCTTGAAAATAAATTTAGGAAACATCAGTATAAATTTTTAATGTGGTTAGATATTTTAAACAATGCTAAAGAGGATAAACTTTAGTATAAATAGCATTAACGGAAACTCGATCTTTTTGTAGGGTTAACCCACAAATATTAAGATCAATTAGAAAATATGGAATTTTTGTATAAATGATGCATATCAAAGAGTTTTGATCTTTTAGTTGTCTAAATTTCTCTAGAAAATAGAGATTTTATGTATGCATAGCTGCATCTAACACTGATATAGAAAAATAAAATTTTATAAAAGATACAAATAATGAAAAAAAATGCATGTGTAATTTACCAAAAAGAACATGTTAGTGAAGAAGAACTCTTAATGTTACCACGTAGTCATATTTTGCCTATACATATATTTTTAATAAATTAAGAATGTCGTATTCATCATTATAATTTACCTTAGTAGTTTAGTAAATAATTAGGTTTAAATGTGTTTGCTTCTTTTAATTAATTTTAAATATTTATAATTTAAGTAACTTAAAAATAAGATATATATATATATATATACATAATAATAATAAGATATATATATATATATATATATATATATATAAATTAGTATTAGTATGTTAAATTGAGTTAATCTGAAATTTAAACCTAATATAAAATTTTAGTAGCATCTATAAGTGAATATATATACATGTAATCTAGATTGTACATATTTTTATAAGGATTTTGTTGAAAAAGAATAAACAGAATTTTTATAAAATATAAATTATACAATATAGGATATTTATTTTTATAAAATGAGTCTCCGTGCAACATCACAAGGATTTCTTACCTAGTTCTTTTAATAATTACTAAGAAATAAATACAACTAATTAATGCATTAATTTTTTATTTTATATTTAGTTGCTTATGATATGATGATTTTTTTTCTTTTCTTTAACATGTGATATGATGATTATAAACAAGTTATGTATGATACTAATANAGTCTCCGTGCAACATCACAAGGATTTCTTACCTAGTTCTTTTAATAATTACTAAGAAATAAATACAACTAATTAATGCATTAATTTTTTATTTTATATTTAGTTGCTTATGATATGATGATTTTTTTTCTTTTCTTTAACATGTGATATGATGATTATAAACAAGTTATGTATGATACTAATACATATATATATATATATATAAACGTGAAGACTACTTCTTATATAACTAATTTTAATTGTAACAGTATGTTATTGTATTAGTTACTTTTGAAAAGATTTATAAAATTATCCTATAAAATCTGTTCTGAGTTGAACAAAATTAAAATATTATTTTCAGTTTATTGTTAATTTTAATGATTAATAGTTTATAATAACTTTTGTAATATATTTGTATTTACTTTATATTAATTAATGTGATAATAGGTTGTATATGTATTAATCATGTGCCCCCATCAAATAATTGGTCTGGATCTGCCACTGAGTACAATACTTACTAGATAACCCTCAATCCTCATCGCTTTTTCTTAATTAATGGTAAAAATATAATGAGTAAACTAAAAAATTGAAATATAGACATCCATGAAAGCGATGAGCATGTTGAATCTGAACCATTAATTAAGAAAAATACAAGACAACGAAGGAAGCAATAATTACGGTGAGGTTATAACAACGACTAGTGTTGTGAAAAAAAAAAAAAAACAACGACTAGATAAATTTCCAAAAATATATCGGCCACATTTTTAGGTCAAGTAAGCAAACTTCGCAAGCACATATATATATATATATATATATTTGTATTAGTCAAATGGTAATTTATCGCAAAGTTGATTATTTTGTATGTAAGGGATAATTACGCTATCGTTTGTGGTTGTTAATCGATAAGAAAATATGTATGGACATTAAGTCTTTGTAGTTGTTCTTGATGTACAATGCATACTGTAGTATTTTATCATGTTACTTGAAGCCGCAATGATTACAGTAAATACTAAAACTATATAATCATTGCATAACCATATTAAATAGACGATCCAATATGTATTTTTTGCGTAAACAAAATATAGATCACAATGAACAACTAACCTATTACATATTAACAACTAACATATAGATCACAATGAACAACTAACCTATGAACAACTAACCTATTACATACGAGATTAGCAACTAGAGTATAGTTAATCAAACATTTATATTGACATGAGTTCTGATTTTTTTTCTTTTTAATGTGACAGGAATAATTTAAAGTCACTATTATTTTAAATTCTTAGAAACATTTTTTCCACCATTCACAGTTTGGTTTGCTCTGCAACGGAGAAACGATTATATAAATACATGATTGAATATGTTCTTTAGAACATTTTTATGTACTTCAAATTGTAAGCTAGTCTCAAGATTCCACATTGAATCTTAATAATTATCAACCACTAGATAATCAAAGATCAAATACTAGTTAAGAAAATAATATAGTGTATCTAACAAGTTTTACGGATTTTAGCTCTTGAAATGTTTTCAAAGTTCAAAAAGGTTTTTTTTTAACAACTAAAAAGGTATTTGATTAGTGATGATCTTAGGCTAATATTTTTTCATCATTCGGGAAATCTAATTTATGATCATTTGGCACTTTTGGGTTAAATAGAAAATGTGATCCGAAGTACTGTTGTATAAACTTGTTAATTGACTCTCCAACAGATTAGATAATGTTTTTTTAACTGTAAATAGATAATGTTTGCATGCACATTTGAATTATATCGTTATATTGACATACTTTCTTACTTATAACATTAGGCACTTCTAGTGCCGTTTACGTATTTACTATTCTATTTTAAGTTTGGTATTTTTACACATTAACTGGAGACCTAAAGAAATTTGTTTTTCAATACGTCATATGTCAACATCCAGAAATATTTGGCAAAAATTACCAGATGCACCGCATGCTAAAATTCATATATATTGTTTATGTACCACGAGTCTTAATTTGTTTTTGAACGGCCTTACCACGAGTCTAGTTTATAAGAAAACGCACAATTAAATAATTTTCAATTCGTTCAGAGGGAGACACATGTACTAAATTCGACTCTGACTTGTGCTGCCTAACAATTTAATATCGGTTAATTGCAACTCGAATTTGTACGTCTATATTAAAAGTAAATGAAAACCCGATATTTGAAACTTAAAGACATTACAACAAATATGTGTTTAAATACGCGAGCCAAAGAAAAATTATGATGTATGCTTCTTCTGAATTTTCTTCCTAAAAGATACTACAACGGGAATTTAATCTCTCACAGACAAAAATAAAAAGCAAGAAAGAGTAAAAGAGGCATTAACTACTACCCAACATTGAGATACAGAAGAGGACGACGTTTAATAATCACTTCTGCTTTTATATTTTTCAACTTTTTATATTTATTTATGGATATACATAGCTCAGTAATTACACATTGAAATATTACTGTGAATAGTATACAATGATGAACTCAAATTATTTTTTCTAATAGAAAAAAAAAATAACTAACTAAAATGTAAAGCTCCTATCAATCAAGAAAGCAAAAGTAAATAAAAATTCAAATATGGTAAGGCTAAAAGCTTATGTGATGTTTTCGTATCAATCTCAATCTCTCCCCATACCTCCAACGCCATTAAAACTTTAATAAACCTAACTTTTTAATCCATCAAGTTTGTCTATAAATACACATATACTACCCGCAGCAAAGAGTCTCATCTTACTCACAAGAATCTAAAAAATAATACCATTTCGATCCTCCTAAGGCTTTACTCGAAATGGCCCGTTGTTGCGAACCTCTTGCTATTTTCTTATGCGTTATTTTGATGCTCTCGTGGTGCCAAGCTTTGAGTAGCAACTTTGATCATGGATATGATCATGAAGATGGAAGCTTCGAATCCGATAGTTTAATCAAGCTCAACAACGAGGACGTTCTTAGCTTGAAAAGCTCCAATAAACGCCCCTCTTCCGAATCATCAACTGTTAGTGTATCAGACTTTGGAGCCAAAGGAGATGGAAAAACCGATGATACTCAGGTATATCATGTTTACAAATATATGTTAGATTAATAGATTTATCAAAAAAAAGAAATTTAGGAATTTTTCCTCAAAAAATAAAGAAAATTAGGAAATATAATATATATATATATATATATATATATTCTTTTAATTGTATTTATGATGCATGCATGATTAATTATAGGCCTTCAAGAAAGCATGGAAGAAGGCATGTTCAACAAAAGGAGTTACTAGTTTCTTGGTTCCTAAAGGGAAGACTTATCTCCTTAAGTCTACTCGATTCAGAGGCCCATGCAAATCTTTACGTAGCTTTCAGGTAGTATTTAGATGATTTCTTAAAATAATTAGTATTCCATTAATTCATAAACTTAATGAACTAGTTGTATTTTTTTTACCGATTAACCGCAGATACTCGGCACTTTATCAGCATCTACAAAACGATCGGATTACAACAAAGACAAAAACCATTGGCTTATCTTGGAGGATGTTAACAATCTATCAGTCGATGGCGGCTCGTTGGGGACTATTGATGGCAACGGAAAAATCTGGTGGCAAAACTCATGCAAAATCGACCGATCTAAGGTTTGTATTGTCCAAAAATTACTAATATGTCACACACCTATATCTTTAAGTATATATACTTATATTTTTAAAATATTCCTACTTAACTGTAATCATGCTAATACTAATTGGTTTGCTTCTCTATTATTGCAGCCATGCACAAAAGCGCCAACGGTACGTAAATATATAGATGCATATAGTTCTCTCTTTTTTTGCACTAAGTGAACGTTTTATTATAAAATTGGCATGGATACATGTGGTTTATGCTAATGCAGGCTCTTACTTTCTACAACTTAAAGAACTTGAATGTGAAGAACCTGAGAGTGAGAAATGCACAGCAGATTCAGATTTCGGTTGAGAAATGCAACAATGTTAATATTAAGAATGTTGATATCACTGCTCCTGGAGATAGTCCCAACACGGATGGTATTCACATCGCTAACACTCAAAACATTCGAGTTTCTGATTCAGACATTGGAACAGGTAATAAATCCATATAGAAATATATTATCCTAGGGTCTTCATACGTATATTATTTATAATATTAATTAATGGTTGCTTTTCTATAGGTGATGATTGTATATCCATAGAGGATGGATCCCAAAATGTTCAAATCAATGATATAACTTGCGGCCCCGGTCACGGGATCAGGTAATTCAATACTTTTTTTTCTTTTCAGATTCTAGTTTAAGGGTAATAATAATGTTTTTTAAAAATATTTTTTAAAATATATTTATCTTACCATGATAATTCTTGCAAATAATTAAAGTAAATATATAACACATGTATATCTTTGTTTAATTTTTCAAATGAGAAGCATTGGGAGCTTGGGGGATGACAATTCCAAAGCTTATGTCTCGGGAGTTAATGTGGATGGTGCTAAGCTCACTGAGACTGATAATGGAGTAAGAATCAAGACTTATCAGGTGAGTGATTTGATTTTTCTTTTCACAAACAATTTAAAAAAAAAAAAAATTGTCAAGATACTAACAACACCCCCTTAATGATATCAGGGAGGGTCAGGAACTGCTAAAAACATTAAGTTTAAAAACATCCGTATGGAAAATGTCAAGAATCCGATTATAATCGACCAGAACTACTGCGACAAGGACAAATGCGAACAACATGTAAATGATTAATTAATTAATTAATTTGATTTGGCCAAGTATATATTTTTTTTTAAAAAACACTAGACTCACTCACCTTGAAATATATGCTTATTAGGACTCTGCGGTGCAAGTGAACAATGTGGTGTACCGGAACATAAGCGGTACGAGCGCAACTGATGTGGCGATAACGTTTGATTGCAGTGAGAAGTATCCATGCCAAGGTATTGTGCTTGAAAATGTGAACATCGAAGGAGGAACAGCATCTTGCAAAAATGTGAATGTTAAGAATCAAGGCACCGTTTCTCCTCAATGCTCTTAATTAATGATTACTTAGCTAATAATGTAATATATACACATTATATACGTGTATATTGTACTCTAAGTATTGATTCTTGATATATGTAGAATTGTAAAGATATATGGGAATAAACATACAATAGTCGAAAGATTAGTTGTCTTGTATACTCCTATTGCTGATTATTTGTATTTACACGATATGAATAAGATTATTGGTTTGTCTGCTATTTTCTAAACTATTAATGTGAACATATATACAAATTACACTAAGGTGGTTTCATAACTTTAACATAAGCCCTGTTTGTTGTATCAACGCTGGGACAAGCGGCTGCGGCTCCAAATTATCTCTACGATTAGGGTGAGTACATCACAGTCAAGACAAAAGGGATTTGCTTATTCAGACGCCGCGGCAAATCACAACCCGTAAAGAGACCGCTGAAAATATCAGGGCTATAATAGTTTGGTAAGTAGAAAGCTGCTCATATTTAGTTTCTTTGACAAAAAAAAGAACAAGTTGTGCAAGGAGGCCGAGTTCGTGAATCTGAATACTAAAAATGCTAATCTATAGTGTGGTTTACTATACATAATACGAAATAAGCAGTCAAATCCCAAAATTAACCAAAAAGAACTAGCTTTCAGTGAGCTCTTGCTTTGTGGCATACTTTACTAATTAAATAAATCTTGATGTATTTCTCCTACACTTACAAAGAATGTTAGAACATTATCAATGCATGGTGCTTACTGCTTAGTGCAATGCTTAGAGTTCTAAAAAATTCCCCGAAAACAGCTGCTTAAAACGCTCAAATAAACACTAATTTAGATGGATTGTTTGCACTGTTTACAGGTTCCATATTGATTTAGATGGATTGTTTGCAGGTTCTATTAACACGTAGGAATCCATAATTGGTTTTTTTTTAGTCAGACAAAAAAGTTTAAAAAAAAAACTTAAAAATAAACATGGGTTAAAGATGTTCTTAGATCCCTCAAATAGATAAGTAAATGTGAAAGTCCATTAATATAATTTCATGTAAATTAAGTTTTCCATCTGATTTTGTTGGTATATAATTCAATATAAGGATAAAGTATATAATCATTCTTGTCTCTTTTTTTTTTGTTAATGCCGTTGGTCTCAAATCTCAACGGAATTAAAGGTAAAAGTTGACAAGAACTTTTGCTTTTTGTTTTTTTTTTCATATAATTATCATAAAACATCTGAAGAAATTCCGAAATCAATGTTCATAAAATAAGCCAATAAGGTACACATGAAAAAAAATGAAAAAAAAATGTTTTCATATTAATGAGATTACACAATGGTGAAAGCTAATGTAGTTTTACCCTTTTCTACTTCACTTCTTGCTTTGCTCTTCAGCGGCTGCTGGCTTCTGCTCCTCCACTGGAGGCGGCGGCGGCGGTGGTGGTGGTGGTGGAGGAGGGGAGGCGGCGGCGGTAGGGACTCCAGCATCGATGCAGCTACGGCATTTTCTCTCAACCCAACCTTCGATGTCATGGTCTCCTCCGTCAGATAAATGGCGGCCGCCGCAGAGTCTAGCAAAGATACCGGCTACAACTGATAAAATGGTGATGACGGCTAAGACGATGACAAGTGTTTCTATTGAACGGTGGTCCGAGTTGTGACTCGGCTGGTCTTGGGGAGGTGGGTCCACGTATATGGTGGTTGGTGTGGTTGTTGTGCCGATTTGGTCATCGAGTCTTGCCGTGACTCCGAACATGAGAGTGAGTGAGAGAACTAAAGAGAGAAAGAGAGAGAGAGTTTCAGGTGAGCTTGTTGAAGAATTAGAAGTGGAGACTAGAGAGTGTTGTTATTTAATAATTATATAAATACTTTACAATAAAATAAAATAGAATAAAGACTAATTATGATTATATATATTTTCTTTCCTATCTATGATTTCAATATGTACTCAATTGATTCACATGCATTGGATTTAAAAGAGATATTAACGTCACTTGACTCCTTTCAAAATAATCAAACTAGTTAATTACGAAAAATGAAATTAATTATCGCAATTCCCAATTTGTCCTCAGTGTCTGTAGAAACCAAAAAACCACATGCATTTGGTTAAAACCAAGAGGTAAATGTTTTGTTGTCCCCATCAAGACATTAATTACACTCTCTGCCACTTCTCGTCTGCTTCTTGTCTTTCAATTCAGCTCCCATTGACTCAACTTTAAACAAAAATTTATTCATACCCAAAAAAATGTGATCATCATGAACACATACATATATCTACAGATTCATTTGATCTATGAACTCAATAGTAACTGAGTTAGATTTCGTCTTTGTCTTTTTATGACTGTAAAGTTTTGGCAGGGTGAGATATTAATGGGTGGGGTTATTTCATCTTGTTTTATCTCTGCCTCTTCTCACAACTTTTTTTTATATATATATATTTCAATGTGTCAGATCAATAATGTTATTCAGTAAAAAATAGCATATGAAAATCAAGAAATTGATCAACAATCTGTACAAGGAAAAATATCTGGTCTTTTTTTTTTTTGATCAACAAATATCTGGTCAACTAATAATAATAAAAAGATTGCACTCTGTTTCATTATAAAAGTTTAACGGGTGACCAAAAATGAATAGAAATAATGCATTCTTTATTCTTCTTAATTTATTTTATCATTTATAAGAAAATAATTTTTCTTTTTTATTCCTTGTATTTTAGAAGAATATAGTACAAATTTATTTCTCACCAAAATTGATAAAGAATAATTTTTCTTTTATTTTTATAATTTTATTCCTCTACAGTATTTTTTTACTCATTTCTAATGTTTCTATGATAGTCACCAGTTACAACTTAATTGTCATTTTAGAGATATACACACAAATTAAAAAAACAATTAATTATACATATTTTCTGTATAAAACGCACAATTATCTATATATCTAACCATCTTTTATTTAATAAAAACAAATTATATAATAAAATTAATAAATTTTGCATTGAAAACTGAAAACAACATCTATACTATTAAAGCTGAAGTACAAAAATAAAGTGTTTGGAAACATGAATAAGAAAATTTTAAAAGTTTGATTGGAAACATGGATATCATACAAATTTAATGAGCTTATTTATTATACTAAAGATTATTACGGCCCAAGGTACCATTATTATTGTTTTTGGATTTTCTATCATTGATATTATTTTATTTCTAAAAATTATTTATACATATATGTATTCATGTTTTAAATTTATTTAGAATAAATTAAGAATAATATATATTTTATTTATATAATTTATATTGACTATTCTTCTAAGTTTTTAACAGTGATATACTAGCCTTCCAATTCTTCATTAAAAAATTAAATTAAAAATTTGACTAAATTATTTAGTGTATATAACTTTACACCAAATTTAGTCAAAAAACTTTATAAAATATTACTAAAATGTTTACGGGTCACAATATCTTAAGACGCCCCTGTTACAGAATACAATAATGAAATACAATATTTAAACAATATACTATTACTTAGTAAAATTGACACCATTAAATTGTAGTTTTGAAATGTTATATATACCATAAAAACAAAGACCCGCTCAGTCGGACGGATTATGATCTAGTTTATTTTATAACAAAAGATTTCTCTACAACTACCCTTGATACGAAACGGATGAGTATATTACAAAAGTCACGTGACGCTAGAAACCCAATATAAAAAATTTGTAAGCCCTTAAAAGCCCAATATTGAAAGCCTTAAAGCCCAATTTGAAAAGAGTTGACTTTAAATAAAAGAAAAGAAGAATCGTTGACATTTCTTTAACGATTCTTCCATCTTTCTGCGAGTTTCAATCTGAGATTTTCTTTTCCCGGGAAAATCTCTTACCGAAGACTCTCTTGTTCAAAGTTCTATTCTTTTGACAGAAATCTTCGATCTTTTCCAGATTTGTTCTGTAATATTTACATTTCTGTAACATAATCGGTCTCAATGGGGACACCAGAATTTCCAGATTTAGGGAAACACTGTTCCGTAGATTATTGCAAGCAAATCGATTTCTTACCATTCACATGCGATCGCTGCACTCAGGTTCCAATGCCATCATTCTTTTTTTTTTTTTATGTCTGAATCAACTTATGGAGAGTTCTCTTGTTCTGTTTTTTTTTTTGATGGTTTTGCAGGTGTTTTGTTTGGACCATCGAAGCTACATGAAACACTCTTGTCCTAAAGGAAACAGAGGAGATGTAACGGTCGTTATATGTCCGTTATGTGGTAAAGGAGTTAGGTTAAACCCTGAAGAAGATCCAAACATTACTTGGGAGAAACATGTTAATTTTGATTGTGATCCATCACACCACGAGAAAACTGTCAAGAAGAAGAAATGTCCTGTTACAAGATGCAGAGAGTTGTTAACGTTCTCCAACACTATTAGGTGTAGAGATTGTAGTGTTGAGCATTGTTTGAAACATCGGTTTGGGCCTGACCATGGTTGTGATGGACCTAAGAAAGTTGAATCGAGATGGTCTAGTCTTTTAGCTTCTGCGGAAGCAAGTATAAGCAGGCTTGGTATACCGATCTTAGGCAGAAGTTACAGCTTGCGAGTGGTGGTAATGTAGAGGGGAATGGGAGAGAGAACAGTGGTAAAGTTACGGTTGATGTTTGTCCGAAATGTAGCAGAGGGTTTCGTGATCCGGTGGATTTGTTGAAGCATATTGATAAGGATCATCGTGGTACTTCTAATGCTTAGATATTTACAAGAATGGAAGATGTGAAGTGGTTACATGTTTTGACTAACTTGGGATTGACTAATTTAAAAACCTGGTGACATTTTTTAAGAGTTTTACTAAAAAATATTTTATCAAAATTTAGGAGACTATACCTATATAAAAAAAAACCTCCAAAATTTTTTGGGTAAACGGTCAATGGTTTCATTGGGATGATCCTAGATCAGTCCACTGTCAAATTACATGCACACAAGAGCTATAGTTAAATCTTTGTATATATACTAGGTTGTTGTCTTCCTACCATCATTCTAGTTACACAACTTATAAAAGTCTTTTTGAAGTTTTAAATGTATGTAGCAGTTGCCTTATATAACACAATTAAGCTTATACCTAGTATCTATCATGTTTTGTTGAGAAAGTAGATACATCTCAAAATTGACAGGTTTAATACAATGTTCTTCAAAACGATGACAGATATGGCTCCTCTAAAACTGAAAGGCATAGAATGTAAACATTAGAAAACTTCTTCTCGGCCTCTTGTCTTTTTATAGTCATACGCAATGTTCAAGAAATCTTTAGGCAGCATAGACGCTTTATACATAGGATTATTGTTTATATGTCAAGTGTCAACTACAACTATTCTTAAGGGGTGTTATTCAATCAAGGATTTAAAGTCAATTTTTAATATTTTGTAATCAATGAAAAATTATAATTTTAAACTAGTTTTTAGTTGGTGATTTTAAAATCTCTATAGATACCTTGGATTTTGATTTTGATTTTAATTATTTGTTCATGAGAATCCACAACCAATAATTTGAAATCAGTTTTAGATACAAAATATTTTAAAAGTTTTTGATGTTGAATAAGATTAGATTTAAAAACAGAATTTAAATAATTCATTGAATAACCAAATTTTAAAGAGCAATTTAGGTGTAAAACCAAGATAGATAAGGAAATTAGCACAATACCAAAGAGGGGAAAATGGGTGGGTCCGTGGCCATGTCGGAGGTGGTGAAATGTCGTTAACACCCTGCCCGAGTGAATTCATCGCCTCCCGGTCATACCTTCTGACACAAAGATCAAGTTTGGATTTGGCAAGATAAGTTAGACATATGGTGTACATTAGCAAAACCAACATCGGTAACCTAAAATTATTATCCCCCTACAAAAAATCTCTGACGAATACGGCGGTACTGTTTACAAAATCTTGCAAAAGATTTCCTTATTTTTTTTTTATTTTTCGAGTAATCAGAAATACACACCGCTAAGACATCTCCTCTCTCCCTTTATAAGTTGTAGGTAGACGGTTTCAGCTTTCTCCAGAAACAAAGTGAAGTTCCGTGAGGAGATTCTTCTGCGAGGGAGATAAAATCGAGAAAGAAAGTTATAAAGGTGAGAAAGAAGAATATTTCTTGCTATAAATGTAGAGAATATTGTCAATAGTTGTGTATGTCATACCGTTTATGTTCGAGTTTAATAATGTTCGGTAGCATTAACTCCATGTTTGCAATCATTTTTTCCTCTACGTAATAAAGTTTGACAATCTTATTCTTTACTTAATGAAACCTAAATGTCAATTTTCCAGGAATGGGTCGCGTTTTCAGAATCTGGCGTCGAGATTGGAAGAAAAACGTTGAAGAGCAGTGGTACTTTGTCCCAAACCATGAAGATTTCGGGTTTACGATGTATCTCGATTCCCCTGAGACGTTTCCGGTTATTGAAGCTACCGTCAGGGAATGGTACATGGTGGGACCGGAGACACCGGTTGTGATAACCTACGGGATGCCAAACTGGATGCTATTCCCAAGTGGACCGTCATCGCCAAGAAGAATCTCAACGACAGATGACTTGGTGAGTTTGTTGGGGGAGAGGCCACTACTAAGTGACATAACTCTCCTCTGTACCTGCGGAGCAAGAAACGTTGCAGAGTTTAACTTTCTCTGCCGCTCTGATTTCACTATTGGAGCTTCAACTTACGTTGTCGGAGAAGGTCAAGATGATAGGACAAGGGCAAGATACGAGAGTGAGTTTTTATTTTGTCAACCTAAGATGCTTGTCTTATAGTAAACTTAAAAAGTGTCTTTTGGAGAGGTACGAGTAATGAATATATATTTTTTTACAGGACTTGTGCTGGGACCTCGCTTGATGGTGAGCGAAAGTGTTATGAGAGAGGTTTTCGGGGAGGAGGAGATGGCTATCCTCCACCGAGTTGCCATGGAGATTGCCTATGCTGATAGGATTCTCGGACGCGGAACCGGTGATGGTGTGGTAAGAAGAATGGAGATCATTCAGCTAGATGACGATGTGGCTATGCCTGATGTTAGTCAGAACATGGTGGCTGGTGAAGGAAGTGGGACTGGAAATGAAGGTATGTAAAAACCAAGTAAAGTAAAAATTTATTGTCCGGTTAATAAAAAATCATCACATTGAAGCTTCATGCATATTTGTTTTCTAAAAATTTGTGTGGTTGTGGTATACAGGTACAATCATTCCATACCAGTCACCGCAAGTGCCTCCAACAACTGCTGCTGATGCACCATCTGTGCTATGGGATGTTGGTTTTGATTTGTTTGACTATCCTGAGGTGTACAACTCAGAAATTGGCCGTCGTAAGCTAGCTGAGGACGCAGCCTTTTGGGAAGCGGTTATTGCAGCAAATCTCGAGGGTGATGAAGATGTCTTGTACATTGCCAGTCATGATGAAATCCGAGTGGGGTTGGCTAAAGGGGACACACAGAAGGTAGGGAATGGATTAGCTATCGGTGAAACCTCATCATCAGTAAATCCCATAGTCTCTCCTCTTTTTGGACCAGCTGTTACAACAAAAGAGAATGAGATTTCCAACAAAGATAAGGAAGGTGAGGGTATTTATATATATGTTTTGATAGAAAATAATATTATGATAATACATGTTATGTTACGTAACTAAAAGCGGCAATCTTTTTCAGTGACAGAAGTTATTGATGTGGAAACCTATGAGGAAAACAACAACATCAACACAGCTGTGACCGTGAAGGTGACTGTTGGAGGAGGGACTATAGGAAGTGAAGGTCATACACCAGCAGCTCCTAAAGCGGGGAACACGTCGTCGGAGGGAAGCGACAACGAGGGTGGGTTTTAAGTAGAAGTCCTTTTAAGGGGGAATGTTTAATATGGTACTAGGTTTTTTAACGTTTGTCATAAAAAGGGTATGTTGCGGCGATTGGTCGGTTACAAGAAAGTTTATCCCGTGATGGAATGTTTTTGTGAGGGATAAACTTCTAAGTAACCGAATCCATGTCTAGGTATTTTGTTATGTTTCTCACGTTTGTCGGTTAAAAGGACCGTAGTATGGGTCATGATGTTTGTCTGGTGTATGAAAAACGATGTACAAGTTTCAATCTTGTTAAAATATATAAAGGATATGGTGCCTGTTTATAATTGTTTGTGTGTACATAATTTGTATGGTAACCTTAAGTTTTGATGTTGTCTAAGCTTATCAGATGAATAATTAGGGGACTAAAGTAATTTTGAACGGTTAAAAAGGCAAGCATGTTGTTAGACGGTTATCCACTTTTTGCAGCCATTAAATGTTTAGTTCGAATTTGGAGATATGTTATTTGAAATGTGAACCAATTTAAATGTTAGCTAAGTACGGATGACATTACGCAGCTAAATTAATTGTTTTGAAGATATATTAAACTATAGACGGTAAAAGAAACAGTTAGCCCTCTTTAGTTGGACATATGCAACTAAACATATTAAATGATTGAGTAAACTAATATATTTTAAATTGTATAACAGGGGCAGATAATTATGGTTTTGGAGATGACTTAAAGGTTGGAATGATGTTCAGGAACCGTGAAGCATTCAAGCATCATGTAGCAATGTATGCAATTGCACAAAAGTTTTGTTTCAGAAGCACGAAGTCGGATCCAGGCATGATGGTATTGCAATGTGTCGGGGCATCTTGCCCATGGCGGGTCTACGCAATAAAGATGAAGGATTCTGAAGTATTTGAGGTTAGGAGAGTTGTGAGCGTACATAACTGTTCTATTACTGAGCGGGGTGGGTACCAAAACCAAGCAACTTCATCGGTTATCGGCGAGTTGATGAGGACTAAATATGCTGGGAACGGAATGGGACCTAAACCAACAGAGATCCGTTTGATGATGAGGGGCGACCATGATGTATCAATCTCATACTGGAAGGCATGGAAGTCAAGGGATAAGGCTGTCGATAATGGGCAGGGAACTTGCAATGCGTCATACATGCAGTTGCCGGCGTATCTTAACAACCTAGTCTTAGCAAATCCCGGGTCTTTGGCTAACTTGCACACAGAGCCAACCGAGGTTGGGGGAAACCGATTCAAATACATGTTTCTTGCACTAGGAGCTTGTATCGCGGGTTATAAGGCAATGCGGAAAGTGGTTGTCATAGACGGAACACATTTAAAGGGGAAATATGCCGGGTGTTTGCTAACCGCGTCGGCCCAAGATGGGAACTACCAAATATTCCCATTAGCCTTTGCCATTGTTGATAGCGAGAACGACAACTCATGGGAGTGGTTTTTTCAAAACCTTGCTGAATTTGTCTCCAACGAAGAGTGCTTGGTTTTCGTATCTGACAGGCACCCGTCAATATACAAAGGCATAAGCAAGGTATGTGAATGGCTAACTTTGCCAAGAACCGTTACAAGTTAAATAAAGGTTGCTAAAAATATATATATATATATATATATATATATATATATATTTATCTATATATAAAAGTTTACTACCTAAGCTGTTACATTACTGGCTAAGTGATGTTCAAATTTCAGGTGTACCCTAATGCTGGGCACTGTGTATGCGTAGTCCATCTTAAGAGAAACATCAGGTCCAATTTCCGTGGGAGGCATCTTGAACGTCTAGTAGCAAAGGCTGCAAGAGCGTATAGGTTGCAGGATTTCAACACAACTTTCAACGAAATCAAAGTGTTGAATCCATCATGTGCAACATACTTGATAGATATTGGCTTTGAACACTGGGCCCGTGCTCATTTTGCCGGGAACCGGTACAACGTAATGACGAGTAACTTGGCGGAGTCGTGGAATTCTGTGCTGCGGGAAGCTAGAGAATTTCCAATTGTACCTTTGATAGAGTTCATTCGGCTCAAACTGACAACATGGTTCGCAACTAGGCGGCATGCAGCTAACAATCTTGGGGGTGTGGTTACACCTCACATTGAAGGGATCCTGTCAACAAACTTCGAGATGACAGGGGGATATGAGGTTCTCGAAATTGCTGAGAAGGAGTTCGAAATACGTAACAAGAATGGCGTAAGTTTCCATGTTAACCTAAACAGTATGACTTGTAGCTGTTTTGAATTTCAGATGTTATCAATACCATGCTCCCACGCGATTGCTGCGGCCGTGAAA